AGCAGTCACTGCACTCCAGTCTGGGGAACAGAGTGAGACTCCAACCCAAAAAAAAAAAAAAAAGGCAGGCAAAAACATGAATAGATACTTCTCAAAAGAACACGTATGGGTAGCCAGCAGACACATCAAAAAGCACTCAGCCTCACTAATCATCAGAGAGATGCGAATCAAACCACACTGAGAATGGCCATCATTGGCCAGGCTTGGTGGCTCAGCCTGTAAACCCACACTTTGGGAGGCTGAGGTGAGTGAATTGCCTGAGCCCACGGGTTTGAGACCCGCCTGGGGAACTTGGCGAGATCTCATCCCTACAATAAATCAAAAATTGGCTGGCGTGGTAGCGCGCACCTGTAGTTCTGGCTACTTGGAAGGCTGAGGCAGAAGGATCGCTGGAGCCCAGCAGGTCAAGGCTGCGGTGGCCGGGAGCGGCCACTGCACTCCAGTCTGGGCGACAGAGTGAGACTCCAACTCAAAAAAAAAGATTGTTCATAATGCATAAAGGACTACTAATTTTTGCATGTCGATTTTGTATCTTGCAACTATGCTGAATTCACTTATTAATTTTCATATATATTCTTAAAACAGAGATAGGGTCTCACTATGTCACCCAGGGTGGGCTCTACTGGCCTCAAGAGATCCTCCCTCCACCTTCGCTTTGCAAAGTGCTAGGGTTACAGGTGTGAGTCACTGTACCAGGTCTCAGTAGTTCTAACAATTTTTTTGTGGAATCTCTAGAACGGACCTTAGTTTTTAAAGTGGTAAACAAAGAATACTTTTGGGGCATAGAAGTAGTGCCAAGGTTGACAGATGTGGTAATTAGTAAACCATCTTAGAGAACAAGATATCTCAGTCCATTTAAGTGTTGCTATAACAAAATGACTAAAACTGGGGAGTTTATAAAGAAAAGACATCTATTCGGATCATGGTTCCACAAACTGTATGAGAAGTATGATGCCAGAATCTGCTTGGCTTCTTGTGAGGTCTTTTGTGCTGTATCAAAACATGGCAGAGCCAGGCTCGGTGGTTCAGCCTGTAATCCCATGCCTTTGGGAGGCTGAGGTGAGTGGATTGCCTGAGCCTGCGGCTTCGAGACCCGCCAGGGCAGCAAGACCTCATCTCTACAATAAATCAAAAAATCAGCCGGGTGTGGTAGCGCATGCCTATAATTCCGGCTACTTGGAAGACTGAGGCGGAAGCATCACCGAGCCCAGCAGGTCAAGGCTGCGGTGGCCGGGAGCAGCCAACTGCACTCCAGTCTAGGTGAGAGAGTGAGACCCCAACTCAAAAAAAAAAAAAAAGAGGAAAGACACCAAACCATTCATGAAGAATCTGCCCTCATGACCCAGTACCTCTCACTGAGTCCCACCTCCAAACACCATTATACTGAGGATCAAATTTCAGCATGAGATTTGGTGGTGACAAACAAACCACCTCCGAACCATAGCACAAGACCAGATTCAATGTATTCAGCATAGCTATTCCATTTTTTTGTGCCCTACCCGCCTTCCCCCACCTCAAAAAAAGTATTTTAAAGCCGGGTTCGGTGGCTTAGCCTGTAATCCCAGCACTTTCGGAGGCTGAGGCAAGTGAACTGCCTGAGCTCGCGGGGAGCCAGGGCAGCTTGGTGAGACATAGTCTCTACAATTAAAAAAAAGAAAATCAAAAATGTTAGCTGGGCGTGGTAGCAAGGGCCTGTAATTCCGGCTACTTGTAAAGCTACTGCAGAAGGATCGCGGGAGCCCAGTAGGTCAAGGCTGCGTTGGCCATGAGCAGCATGCTACTTAACTGCACTCCAGCCTGGGTGACAAAGAGTGAGACTCCAACTCAAAAAAAAAAAAAAAAAAAAAAAAAGCTAAGGATGAAGACTGATAAAGCTAATCATTGATTAAAAACATTGTAAAATGGTGTGAAGGGATAGAAGCAAAACTGAGGCTTTTTACAGATGATAAAATTGTGGCCCAACATCACTTCTTTTTTTTTTTTGAGTTGGAGTCTCACTCTGTTGCCCAGACTGGAGTGCAGTGACCGCTCCCAACCACCACAGCCTCGACCTGCTGGGCTCCGGCAATCCTTCCGCCTCAGCCTTCTGAGTAGCCAGAATTACAGGCATGCGCCACCACGCCCGGATGATTTTTTGATTTATTGTAGAGATGAGG